TTGCTGCCCTCCCCGCCTCTCTCCCTCCCTCTCGCTGGGGTGACACTTACCAGTGAAGTCTTTGGGCCACGGTGTTTCTCAACGTCTGAGAATGGCATCCTGCTCTCCGAATCACGTCCTGACCGCCTCACACCCACTAGGATCAGGAGAATCGGATAGTCAAATAATAACACGTGTTGACAAGGATGTGCAGAACGGGGCGCCTGGCGGCTCAGTCGGTGAAGTGTCTGACTTTGGCTCGGGTCATGATCTCACGGTTTGTGAGTTCGAGCCCCGCGTCGGGCTCTGTGCTGACAGTGCAGAGCCTGCTTGGGATTCTCTCCTCTCTCTCTCTGCCTTTCCCCCACTTGCTCATGCATGTGCTGTCTCTCTCTCTCTCTCTGTCAACATAGATAAATAAACTTTGGGGCACCTGGGTGGCTCAGTCTATCGGGCATCTGACTCTTGATTTCTGCTCAGGTCATGATCCCAGGGGCGTGAGACCCACATCGGGCTCCACTCTCAGCACGGAGCCTGTCTAAGATTCCCTCTCTCCTTCCCTCTGCCCCCTCCCCCCCAGCTCAAGCAGCCTCTCCCTCCCTCTCCCTCTCTCGTTCTCTGTCTCAAGTTAAATAAATAGGGGCGCCTGGGTGGCTCAGTCGGTTAAGCATCCGACCTGGGCTCAGGTCACGATCTCGCGTTCGTGGGTTCAAGCCTCGCGTTGGGCTCTGTGCTGACAGCTCAGAGCCTGGAGCCTGCTTCACAACGTCTGTCTCCCCTTCCCTCTGCCCCTTCCCGGCTCGCGCTCTGTCTCTCAAAAAACAAAGTAAAACGTTAGAAACATTAAATCAATAAATATGAATAAAGAGAAAGGCTGTGCAGAATCAGAACCCTCATACTCCTCTGGCGGGAACGTGACGTGGGCAGCTGCTGTGGGAAGAGCCTCGCGGCTGCACTAATGATTGAAGACAGAGCCTCCACACGACACGGCATCTGCTCTCCGCGCCCACGCCCAGGTTCGCAGAAGCGCCTGCCTCAGAGCCCCAAAGTGAAAACAACGCAATCGCCCATCAGTTGGCGAACAGATCAACAAAATGCTCATTTCCTCGTAACAGGATACCATTCAGCCATAAAAAAGGAGTAAAGTACCGACACACGATACAACAGAGGTGAACCTTGAAACGTCATGCTGAGTGAAGGAAACCAGTTTCCCAAAAGCGCATATTATATAATCCCATTCAAGTAAACCTCCAGAGCAGGAAAAGCTAGAGATGGAAAGTGTGTTTCTTACTGGCTGCCCGAGGGCTAAGGAGAGGAGGCCGGGAGTGGGGAGGAGCCTGGCCAAGGGAGATGACAGCTTCAGCCTGAGTTTCTCTTTGGGTTGATGAAGATGTTCTAGAATTGACGGTGGCACAGATCTGTGAATATACTAAAAGCCATCGAATTGTACACTTTCCCTGGGTTCATTGTGTGGCTAGTGAATTGTGTAAAAATGATAACAGTCTACACTGATTGACTCTGAAAGATACTCATTATCTCCAAAGTTCTGGTTCCATATATGTGAAGTAGGATCTTACTCGTATTAGTTTTTTTAAAACACACACACACACACACACACACACACACACACACACTTATGCATAGGGGGAAAATGTGGAAATACCCCAAAATGTTACATTATGTCTAGTCGTGGGGATTATGAGGTGTTTAAATATATTCTTGTGTATCTTCTGAATGTTTTGCAGGCAGCGGGTGATATTTTTCCATTAAAAATAATACACATTTGGGGCACCGGGGTGGCTCAGTCGGTTAAGCGTCCAACTTCGGCTCAGGTCATGATCTCGTGGTTCGTGGGTTCAAGCCCCGTGTCGGGCTCTGTGCTGACAGCTCAGAGCCTGGAACCTATTTCAGATTCTGTGTCTCCCTCTCTCTCTGACCCTCCCCTGCTCATGTTGTCAATCTCTCTCTCAGAAATTAAAAAAATATTTTTAAATAAAAAAACATACACAGTCATCTGCCCTATTTTTTAAAAGTATTTATTACAAATGGTCATTAATGTTTTTTAAAAAAAACAATGGGGCAGTAGATTGCTCAGTGCATGAGTTCTCAAAGATCTGAGACACCCCACCCTCCCTTTCATCTCACGAATCTTCTGTGTCCATAAGAGCTACAGAGGTGTTGGGTCCTGGGGTAGCGATTTGGGAAGAAGGCACTGTGTTTAGTCCATAAGGGACAGTAAACCAACTCACGTGACAGCCCGTCTACAATGACTGCCATCCAGTGATGCGGTTAGGAACCAAATGCTACCCTCCTAAACACGTGTCCCTAAATCCTTAAGTCAGAGTAACTGGGATCCGTCATGTTCGAGAGACAGCCCTCATTTATTAGAGAAACGACAAGAGTAACGTCGCTGGGGTTTACGGAGTTTCAAATTCTCAGAATAGTTGAATATGGCTTCTGATGCCAGGGCTGTGATTCCAAGATTGCGAATTCCCGTTCCTCCATTGCCGTTCCCTAGACTAACTTCATTCGTGGGACCAGACTCCACAGGCATTTAGGCAAACGACACACGCTGGGGACGCAGCGACAAACCTTTTGCGTGTCTCCGGGAGCCCCCCCCCCCAACCACAATTCACAAGGACCCAGTGCAGATGCGGGGGGAGTACAGAATCAGGGGCTGGGCTGTGCTGACAGCGGCTGGGGCGGAGAGAAAGGCGGGCCAAGTGAATAGACTTTAACATCACCAAGAAGCTCATGGGACGGATGGATAGTCCCTTTCCGCGCAGGAAGCCATATAATAGGTTCATCAGGTTTGTGCTTGTCCGGAAGGAGGATTGCAATTCAAAAGGACACTGAGAAAGTCCGCACCACCGGGCCGAGTGGCTAGAGAAAAAACATAAGGAAAACCGAGCGCACTTTGGATTCTGGAAGACGGATACACGATGTCCGTGCTGTGAGGAACTCACATGTACAGCAGCTCCACAGGTAAGCAAAGAGCTGTCACTTCTGCCTGTTGGGCCCTATAGACCTGAAGAAACCAGTTTCTGAGAGCTGATGAGAAGGTCCGTGCGTTTACTGATGTTTCCTAATGGAGTCCGTGACATGCCCACATTTCCCGGTCAAGACGGTGATGCAGATACATCTCCACGAGCTTCACGCGTTGATTGGTATCAGTGTTTATATTCTGTTTATACTCAGCACTTGAGGCTGATGGGGTGGGGCCGTGTAGGGAACAGAAATGCCGGCTTCTGAGGGCTGATTGAAGAAGGACCCAATTATTCAGCATCCCCTTGGATAAGTGTGCCCTGTCGGTGGGCAGCAGCTTCTAATTTTCTTGCTTTTACAAAGTTCCTTCCACAGTATGCACTTCTGCCAGGCGCGGCGGAGGAAATGGCCGGGACCCAGATCACACCATGCCATGAAGTCAAAAGTGCTTTGAACCTCTGGGAACAAAGTTTATAGTGGGGACCAGGGCAGAGAGAGTGTGAGAGCCTGCTTCTGCCCTTCCCACAAGGAGACGTAACCCCTCCGTTCCCACCCCCGCTGTCTGGGTCATGCTCGAGAAACGAAAACAAGTCACGTTCTTCGCAAATGCCACACGGTTTGAAAGCAACTTTGGCATAATCCACGATGATGACACTTAAAAAATGCATGCTCTTGCGGAAGTAGGAAAGACTAGGTTAAAAGGTCACACCCAGCGTGGTATGTTGCACTGCGTGTAGGGGACACACACCGTGACCAGGCTGCGCGCCTGTAAGCGAGCCGTGGCAGAAAACCCCCTACTGACCCCCGGGGGCGAGGGGGGCGACAGTGACACGCTAATGAATGGCCAATGTCTTTATGGCGCGCTCCTCCAACTTCCCCAGTGAAACACCCTCAAAGTCGTGCGGGGTCAACACTCCACGAGAATTCATGTGACTCCTGCCCCCACCCCACCCCCACCAAAATAAAAGGAATTTTGAGAAATGTCAATACTTCAGGAGGATGTTTCTTTCTTTTTTTTTTTTTTTAAGTTTCTGGCAGAGAGCCACAAACGCTGACACTGGAGGTGCCACACGATGGAACTCCCGCTGCCTGGGCCTGTGGCAGCGCCGGGCCGTCAGAAGGCTTGCTCTTCAGGCACAGCTTCCCCTCAGTCTCTGCTCACCCGCAGGCGGGGCAGAAGACGCAGACGTTTTCCGTGGTTGTTGAAGGGCATCCGAACTTATAACAGGACCTTGCTCAACAAGCTGTGGGTTTTGTGGGGCCTGGGGTAACACACATGGCCAAGCGGATAGAAACGCATTACGCATCAACGCGATAAAGTAATCTCCTTTTTCAGAGTGAAGTTTCACAGGAGTTTAGATTTTTGTTTTTTTGTTCTGGAGAGGTAGTCGCGTGCTTTCCCAAGGTAAGGAACCGGAAGGCACGCCGGCACGAACGAGACGTTCACCACCTGCGTCTTCCTCACAGACGTCGGGGGGCCGCTCTGCCGCGGGAAACAGCCACGCACCTTCGGCGCCGCGCACACCTGCACGCACGCCGCGGACAGCGCGTCCCGGGCGCGCTCGCGGTAAACCCGCGGGTGTGGTGACCCGCCGGCGCCACAGACGCCGGGGCACCGTCAGGTGACGCGGCAGGTGCACAGCGATCCCCTGCCGACGGCCCCGCGCGGGGGCCGGGTCAGCGGGAGCAGCTCATCAGTGGGCCACGTCCGCGTGACGACCGAGGGCCCGGGCCGTTCAACCGAGGGACGCCGCCCACCCGCTCCGGGCCAGCCCCGCGCTTCCCTCCCAGGCCCGGCCCGCGAGCCCCCGAAGCCCCTCCGGCCGTCAGTCCGTCCGCCCGCCGTCCGCGCTCCCGAGCCAGCACCGGGCGCAAGGCGGCGGTGGCGTGTGCTGACGTCATATGGGCCGCCCGCCCCCGATTGGCCGCGGCCGCCTCACCAGACCCCGAGCGGACGGGCGCGCGGGCGGGGCGGGGCGCGCGGAGGCCACGCCCCCAAGCGGCGGGCCGGGCTGGGTCATGTGACCCGCGGCCCCGCCACGGTCGCCTGCCTTAAAAAGCTGCACCGCGCGCCCCGCTCCCAGGGCCCAGCGCCAAGAGGTCCGGGCCGTGATTACTTTCCTACGCGAGTCCGCGCGCGGGCGCCCCTCGGACAGGTATGTGGGGAGCGCTGGGGATGCCCCGGGGTCCGTGCGGGCCGGAGCCGAGCTCGGGTCGGGAGCCGGGGAGCCGGGCGGCCCCGGGGCGGGGCTGCACCCCCGACCCCGGCCGGCCGGCTCAGTGCCCCTCGGTCCGCGGGCCCCAGGAACTCGGCGCTGCTCGGGGACGGGGCCCGGGAAACTTTCGGACTGGACGGGCACGGGCGGTGCGTGCCCTGCTCGCGCGCGGCGCCCTGCGCCGGCCCCCTGCCGTCCCCGCCCGCGCAGCGCCTCGGGGGGCTGCGGGCGCCGCCCCCCGCCCGCCCGCCGCCGTGAACTTGACGGGGTCCCGCGCCGCCCCCTCTCCCCGCAGGAACGCCGGCCCGCGCCCGGGGACCGATGCCCAGGCTGGACGACCACTGCTGGAGCTGTTCCTGTGCTCAGAGCGCCAGGCACCGAAGTCTCCCGCGAGCCGGGCCCGGGGGGCTGGCGGCCAAAGTGGGAGACATGCTCAGCCCCGCGGCGCTGGCGGCCCGCCGCGGCCCGGACCCGCACCCCGCGCCCGCTCGCGGGCCTCGGAGCGCCGGGCCGGGGGGGCGCGGCGCTGGCGGCGGCCCCCCCGGCAGCTGGCACCACCACCTGGTGCAGAGGAGCCTGGTGCTGTTCTCGGTGGGGGTGGTGCTGGCCCTGGTGCTCAACCTGCTGCAGGTGCAGCGGAACGTCACCCTGTTCCCCGAGGAGGTCATCGCCACCATCTTCTCCTCGGCCTGGTGGGTGCCCCCCTGCTGTGGGACGGCGGCCGGTGAGTGGAGCGGGGTGGGGGGGAGGCCGGGGGGGCGCGCGGGGCGGGGGCGGGGGCCGCGGGGGCCGCGGGGGCGCCGGGCCGGCCTCCCGCCGACCTGGCCCCGGGGCCGCGCGCGGAACCCGCCGCCCGCCGGGGATTGGCCGCCGCGGAACTGGTGAGCGGCGCGGCCCGGCTGCCATTGGCCGCGCGCGCCAACACGCTACCCGCCGGCCACCGAAAACAAACCGTCACGTGGGCCGGCGGGCGGGGCGGGGCGGGGCGGGGGCGCCGGGGAGGCCGCGGGTCAGGTGCCGGGGCGCCCCGCCGCTGTCGGCTGTGGGCGGGCGCGCGGGCCCGGGGCGCTCCCCGGCTGCGCGTACTGAGAGGCATGGCCAATCCGGGCTCCGAAGACCCCTCGGTACTTCGGTGGTCGCGCAGCGGCCATTGGTGAGCACACGTTCGCCAGGTGCGGGCTGCGGCCCCCGCTGCCCCAGCCCCGGCCCTCGGCGCTGCCCGCTCTGGTGGGCCGAGCAAGGGTGCCTGTACCGGGGGCAGCGCCGCGTCTTCGGGGTGCAGCGGGGCCCTGCTGTTTGCCTTGCAGCCGGCGCTTGTGGGCTGCTTATTACTTTGTATCTTCAGCGCTTTGCTTCCTTCGCCCCTTACACCACCACTCTGCGGTAGCCCCATTTTACAGATGTGAAAACTGAGTCTCAGAGAGGCTAAGCCACCGTGTCTAAGGGCACACAGCACATAGCAGGGCCGCTGCTCATAACTCTGCACCTTCTCAGCACACTCCCTGAAAACAGTCGGAGGGCACAGGACAGGGAATGGAGAGCTGGGTTCTAGACAGGACACGTCCCTGGGGGGTACTGGACTTACCCGCCCCCCCGGTAGAATGCCTCCATTTCTCTTCTTAGGAAGACAGGGTCCTGAGATGCCTGGGCGGCTCAGTTAAGCGTCTCTGTCTGACTTTGGCTCAGGTCATGATCTGGTGGTTCGTGAGTTCCAGCTCCGCGTCCAGCTCTCTGTGCTGTCGGCTTCTGAGTCTCCCTCTCTCTGCCCCTCCCTCGCTCACACTCAGTTTCTCTCTCTCTCTCAAAAGTAAACATTGAAAAAAGAAAGTTAGGATCCTGCTTTGCCTTTCTAATCCTCTTAAGTAACACAACTGGGCTATTAAATATACTTTTGGGGAAACATACCTAGACGCAAATTGCATTTTTCATGCTCATTTGGTACAGCAGTTTCTTTGAATCAAAAAATTGACTCTAAAAATTAAATAGTTTAGGCTTTATTTGCAATTGCAGCTTTAAGGAATTCCTGGGACTACCTGAAACACAATTTCTCATACTCTCCCCCCAATTTTTTTTTTTATCATAAGCCAAGTAGAGGACGGAATTGCATAGTATGTTTGTACCTAATTAACTTTTAACCTAGAAAGGTGAGATTAAGTTATAGCGAAATCAGTTACAGAATGTTTTGCGTTCCAGTTTTCAAAACTCTGAAAAAACTAGAGCTTGAGAAAATGTATGAAATCGAAACTCTCCACTGAGTGTGTAGCTAGTGCCGAGTGCCTGGTTTCTCTGTTCAAGAACCTGAAACACTTCCCTTTTTCGTAGGACACCAGGGTGAGGCGCCCCGTGGCTCTCAAGCGTCCGGGCTTGGGTGACTTGACGAGCTGAACTTGGCGCCCCACAGTTCGCCCTGGGGGGCCCCAGAGCCCCACCAGCCCCATGTGTTGCTTCCGTTACCTCTGTCCTGGAACCGCACAGCCTTCCCCGTCTAAATCTCCCATGCTTCAGAAGTCTGTGTCTGTGAAAACTGCCCCCCTGCTCCAGAGCACAGGCAACTCTTCTGGTTACATAACCCTCATCACTTTACACATGAGGGAACAAACATGGGGATTTGAGAACAGGGGCCCGGTTCTCTGCGCCTGGTCCGTGCTGTTCCCACAGTTCACGACCTGCACTCACAAGGACAGCACCGCGTGGCTGCCTTGTCATAGCGTTATGTGGGTAATTATCCCCCTGCCTGCCTAGTTCTGTGCAAGTAAACCAAAGAACAGCGATTTTCTTTTTAAATTTCTCAAAACAGTGTGATCCTTTTGTTTGTCCTCAAGGAAAACAAAAATATAGAATCAGTCTTGAAATCCGTATCCTGTAACCCATTCATCTTCTAGGGCAAGAGCGGATTTGAGCAATAGGTTAATAATTGCCCCGTAGAAATCCTATCCTTTTGAAGCTTCGTATTCTAATACCGTTGTGTTTTGTCCTAACAGCTGTCGTCGGCTTGCTCTACCCCTGCATCGACAGTCACCTTGGGGAGCCGCACAAGTTTAAGAGAGAGTGGGCCAGCGTGATGCGCTGCGTAGCGGTTTTCGTTGGCATCAACCACGCCAGTGCTGTATCCTTTAGCGGATGTGCTCGGTCCAGAACGTTTTCTGGGGTTCCGTGTTGAAGCATTTCTTGACTTCCGACGAGCGTATGTTGTTATCTTATAGGTCCGTTGAATGGTCTCCTGCCAACTATTTTATTTTAAAGCATCTTGCTCGGTTTATACTTCGCGAGAGTTTTTCAAACGGTGCAGGTAGAATAATACCAGAGGCCGAGTGGGCTTCTTTGTTCTCTCTTCTGTTGGACGGTGTCTTCTGGTTCCTTGGAGCTGGTTTTGGAAACCCCCTCGTAGATCTCCCTGTCGCATCCTCCACCGTGAAGACCTGGTGTCTGTGGCCCAGTGACAGGTGGCTGGGGGTTCCCCTTCTTGGGGCCGTTTGGGGCCGCTTCTTCGAGAGGTTGAGGAGAAACCTGTCTCTCCTTCTCTGCCCCCTCCCTGGCTGTGACCATGAAGTTTCAGGGACAGTCAGAAGTGGTGTCCTCTGGCGTAGGAGTCCTTTTTTTTTTTTTTTTAGGTTTATTTACTTATTTTGAAAGAGAGAGCGTGTGCGCATGAGCACGGGAGGGACAGCAAGAATCCCAAGCAGGCTCCGTGCTGTCATAGAAGGCTCAGTCTCATGAACTGTGAGATCATGACCTCAGCTCAAATCAAGAGTCTGACGGGGCGCCTGGGTGGCTCAGTCGGTTTAGCATCTGACTTCAGCTCAGGTTATGATCTAGCAGTTCATGAGTTCGAGCCCCACGTCAGGCTCTGTGCTGACAGCTCAGAGCCTGGAGCCTGCTTGGGATTCTGTGTCTCCCTCTCTCTATATATCCCTCTCCCTACGTATCCCTCCCCTACTTGTCTCTCTTCTCTTTCTCTCAAAAATAAATGTTAAAAAAAATTTTTTTTTTAAATGTTTTATTTATTTCTAGGAGAGAGAGAGAGAGTGAGCAGGGGAGGGTCAGAGAGAGAGGGAGTCATAGACTGAAACAGGCTCCAGTCTCTGAGCTGGCAATCAGCACAGAGCCCGACGCGGGGCTCGAACCCACAAACCGCGAGATCATGACCTAAGCGAAAGTCGGACGCGTAACCGACTAAGCCACCCAGGCGCCCCAAAAAAATATTTTTTAAAAAAGAGTCTGACACTTAACCAACTGAGCCCCCCAGGCGCCCCTGGAGCAGGGTTCCCAGCAGAAGGTTCCCTAAACTTCCAAGCCCATGGGCGGAACGTGTTGCAGACCCTGTTACGTGGCTGCAGATAAGTGCATTTTTCAGGAAGACCATAGAATACCAGGTCCCAGAAACTTAGGGTTTCTTTAGGAAAACCAGACCTGATCTTAAAATCTTAAGAGATAGGTGTTTTCTGGCTACTTATTCTCAAATCTGCTCTACTTGTGTCTTCCCGGGAAGAAGGTCAGGAGAGGGTGTGATAAGGCAGCTTCGCTCTGACAAGTCGGTTTTCTCGCCGGCTGCTCGGTCAGCAGCGTTGTGGTGAAAGGCAGACCAGAAGTGTGTGATGCTCCCCGCCCACTGCAGGGTGTCCTTGAGGCAACATGAGGGTTCGAGTTACTAATAATAAAAAAAAAAACAGAAGCGAGACTCTAGATGACATCCCAGCGATATGTGTTGTGCTGAGAACACCGGCAGCTGCATCTTCCAGAACGTTTCCATAAAGGGTTAACGGGTCTGACCCGGCGATCCAGAGAAGGGCCGCCCCCTCGTATGCAGCAAATCTGGACACAGCCGGGGCAGGGGCTTCGGGTGGTATGTAATGAAAACACAAACCCGTGTGGGCTCTGGAGGGGGTGACCTTGTTGTGGCTTGTACTTGACATTCTTACGCGTCGTTAAAGGTCCCTTAACCTCGCACCACCAGAAACTGGATTTTGCCAATAACGTGCAGCTCTCCTTGACCTTGGCGGCCCTGTCCCTGGGCCTGTGGTGGACATTCGACCGGTCGAGAAGTGGCCTCGGTCTTGGGATCACCATCGCCTTCCTGGCCACTCTGATCACGCAGCTGCTGGTGTACAACGGCGTGTACCAGTAAGCACGGGCCCTCACACCCCGACTTTGTCCACGGGCGCCACGTAACTTCTGTCACCAACACACGCCGAGCTGAGCCGTCCTGTCGTATTTATACACGCAGGACATCGATTTAGGCACGAAATACCCCAAAATGCTGCTCACTGATAATTCGCATGTTAAAAACGTACCACATGTAACTTTGGGGGAAACGTGGCTGTGGCAGCAAGCGCAGCCTCTGGACGTGACCGTCCCACGGCGCAGCGTGTGTCTTCCCCAGAGGCGAGCCAGACTCGGGGGTCTGGCGGCCCGGGCAGTTTTCCTCCGCTCTTTCTGCAGGTACACGTCCCCCGATTTCCTCTACATCCGCTCCTGGCTGCCGTGTATATTCTTCTCCGGAGGGGTCACCGTAGGCAACATCGGACGGCAGCTGGCTATGGTACGTGAGCCCATCGGACCTCCTCGCTCTCTAGCCGCCGGCCCAATGAAATCGCTGTGTAACACAGTGTAATTGTGTCGATAAATGTCTAGTTGAGGCTCAAGAACAACACTTACTGAGAAAAGCACGTGTTTAAAAATAGTAGCTGATGGTACCGAGGCGATTCTTTGGTACGTGAAGATGCAGGGATTTGTAAGCTCGTGAGCCAGAAAGTAAGAGAGTTCTAGAGCACCCCTCCTGCTCCGGGGCTGCTCGGCGGCTGCTCTGAGCTCTGCACGGTCGCCGGCAGAGGAAGGTTACTCAGATGGCCAGCGTGAATGGCTGGCGGTGAGCCCCTTGCCGCCGCTCTCCCCCGTGTGGGTGTGGGTGATGCTGGGGCACCGGGCACCATGGGGGCTGGCGCTGCAGAGACCCGGCGCCCGGGGGGGGGCCTGGTCAAGCAAGCCCTGCCCTTCCCCGGACAGGTGGCCCCGGGGCGGGCTGGGGACGCTCGGCATCGCCAGAAACCTTCCCGCCCCACCTCCCTCCCCACCAAGCACGGACCGTGTCCTGAGAGCAGAAAGGCCAGTGAAGCCAGGAATAACTGTGGCAGTTCTATTCTGTGGATAGAAATCTGCATTTGAACAGTTCAGTAAGAGAAAATTAAGCGTGGACCTGTAAGTGTTCTTTGGCGTTGACTTTGACTCTGGGGCTTAAATAGAATGAACTGAAGGAAACCACTAAGACGTACAAGGGCCCTTGCCCTCGGAGATAAACCTGGGGCTTCCTCGGAAAACTTATCTGGGTCCCTGACGTGCTATTTTTAAAGCAAGGCATTTACAAGCGCCCGCTGATACTCACTGGTGGGAGCTGAATTTAAAGGCTGCTTGGCTGTTCCACAAAAATAGAACTCATTTCAAGAAGACAGACTGTGTAGCACGTCCCACGGGTTCCTGAGGACATCACCCCGCACTCCACCCCTTGCGGTTATATGGATCCCGTCCCAGAACGAGAACTCGATTAAAATCCCATTTCTGGCGCCCCGGTGAGGATCAGAGGACTTGGCTTACGTGTATATACGTGTGTATATTTACATACGTATATATAAAACTTTTTTAAGGTTTTAGTTTTAAGTAATCTCTACACTCAGCACGGGGCTCGAACTCACGACCCCGAGATCAGGTGTCCCACGCTCCCCCTACTGGGCCAGCTGGGTGCCCCTTGACTCGGTCCTGTTGACCCTGGGCAGCCCCCTGGCACCTGTGTCCTGGCTGCCTGCCCTCCCAGCCCCCCTGACTGCTCTTCCCCGTGGGACTGGGCAGGTCCAGGGCGCCCGTGGGCGTTCGTAGTTCTGTGCCTTCAGGAGAGAAGCCCTAATCGGGTTTGCGGGACGAGCTGGCACCTGCCACGGTGGCCCGTCGCAAACTTAGGTTTGAGTAACATTTAGCAAGTTGAACGTTGTTTGAGGCCGACGGGCCGATGCTGTTTTATGTTCCGGGCAGGTGTTTGAACCAGGTTCAGGACGTAAGCGTTTTCTTCGGCAGAGGCAGGAACTGCCCACGTGTGCGAGTCGTGAGCGGCTAGAGACGGTGGGAGGAGACTTGCTGTAAAAGAGTCGTGCACTTCGTACCTTTGAAAACATTGCCCCCGGAAGACTTTCAGTAAAGGATCCTTGCTGGGCCCCTTCAGTCATTTAGGTGCAAATTTTAAAATTAAGTACAAACTGCACAGAGGAGTGTAGGATTTAAAGATGATGTAAAGGGTAATGCACGCGGTCATCTCCTTACTTTAAGCTAAAGCGGGGGCCTTCCGCAAGCGTGTTGTCGCCCGCTGAAATGAGGAAGGGCGTGATCGCTTCCCCCCCAGGTCAGCAAGTCTGCGCCCACCCCACTCGCTGTTTTCTCCATCCGTGAACGTGTAAGTCCTTCCCGCCGGGTCCCGCCTGCAGGGAGGGTGAGGTGAGCCCTCCGGGGCCTCAGCGACACCGCCAGCCACAGCCCCCAGTGCTGCTCCGGGGCGGGGACACGGCTGGTCCCTGTCCTGGGGGTGTTCAGAGAGCAGGGGGCCTGAACCGTGGCCCGGTCTCCCCTGGGGGGGGGCAGCACGCCCCCTCTGGAGTCGGTGGGTGGGGAGAGCAGGGTGTGGAAGGGTTAGAGGCAGCTGCTTCTGGAGGCAACAGCACGTGCTCTTTGCAGTGTGGTTGTTCTCGTCGATAAAATGACCGTGTGGACGTGACTTTCATGGTCCGCCGCCGGCTGGTGTGTGGGGACCCGTCCCGCCGTCCGCGTGAGGCTGTGGGAAGGCTGGCCGTGGCGGCTCCTGGACACCGGCGGCTTACTCGGGGCACGACCTGGGCGTGAGGCCTCCGTGGATGTGGAAGGCGGGGTCCCCCCCCTCAGCGCCCCCAGGTCTGTCTGGCTGCTCCCTGCCGTTTGGACTCCTTTGGCCTCCGTCCCTGGGAGAATGTGTGCGCGAGCCCCTCCCCAAAGCAGTGGTGACATCTGCTGTAGAGCCCGGGAGGGTCCTCCGCGCCCTTTCTAGGGGCACAGGCATGGCCTTCTGGGCTCACGCTGCCAAAATTGTGTTCTTCATGTGAACAGAATTGGGGGTGCAGGAGATGTGACAATCCCGAAGGGTGAGGGGCACGTTCCGAATAGACGGCTCCCTGCCTCACTGGGGGTGCGGGGCCTCCTTCTGGGGGCTTGTCCTCCCCCGACCTTCCCCCGCACCAGCAGGAGGTGGTTCTGATGGGCTGGGGGGGTCGAAGGGCCTGCAGGCCCCCCCCGAGGGCAGCGCTGAGGCCGCGCACCCGAATGCGCTGGGGAGATGGCCCTGCTCTGCAGGCCTGTGTGTCGGGTCGCTGAGTTGTGCCCCTTCGAACTTTTCTCTTACCGCTTTTGTGGCAGCTTGAAAGGTGACACTGTGACAGGGTGGGCCCTTGCTGGAAACTTCCTCATCGAGGACACAACTCCCTTTAAAGGGACAAATTAGAGAGATGCTTTAAAGAGAGAGAATATTTCAACCTGCTTCCTCAGTTATTCTCTTTCTTCAAAGAAATTGAAAAAGTTAACAGCTTTCTTATTTATTAAACAGGCTTACTCTTTGCTCAGAATTCACAAACTCCTTTCCATCCTTCAAACCCAGGAAGCCACTCATGGTGTCAGGAGGGGGACCCGCCCGTCCCCATCCGCTGCTGTGCCCGCAGCTCCTTCGAGCTGTCTCTCCCCAACAGGCCTTTGCACTCAAAGCTGTTGGCATGGAAAACTGGGCCGGCTTGGTACTTTGGGGTGGCGTTTAAGAAGGGACTCTTGGTTTAGGATCGACACCCTCACCAAGTGGGGCTTCCATGGCGGGTGTGCGTGTGGGGGACACGAAGACATGGCCGTGCTCAGGCCCGGCCTGCCCGAATCTGACCCAGTGTGACCTGGGGTCCCTGCCTGACTCCATCTCAGTTCTAGAATCCTCTCTGCCCTTCCCCGCACCCCCCACACACACCCACAGCCCCACTACAGTGGGCTTTGCTTATGGTTCAGGGATTCACGTAGCTTTTTCTACGTGGTATTTGTTGTCAGCCTGGTGTTGAAAAGGAAATGATGCGTCTACAGCATAATTTTGGAGAAATTCCTATTTGTTGCTATTTGTAGCTTCAAGTTTTTTAAAAATGTTACGGCTTCAAACTGGCCTACTCTGCTTCCGGGTCCCAGGGCCCCAGGAGGTCTGCTTGCTGCTGCCGAGGCTTGAACTTGCCTTTCCCGTTTGTGATTGGCCTAATCAGCTGCTGACGATGATGATAACGTCAGGGTTATTTTGAGGGCTCACGTTAATTAGCCCCCGCTGTATACGGCTATGCATCTCGTTGTCGGCTGATTTAACCTTGTATAACAACGGTTTGAGGTAGGACCTGGTATTAGCCCATTTTAAAGATGGGGAAATGGAGGCTTGCAAAGGCTAACGGCTCGCCTGGGTGGGTGCAGGAGTATGAGGCGGGCTCTCAGGAGCCCGACACGCTGCCCTTCTCGTGCGCAGCTCACCTCTGCCATCAGCTCTTCCGTGAGGCTTTGCCAAGGGACCCCTCCTGCCCCTGGACACACGGCTCCCGGGCGGCATGAGGGTCACTTGTGTTCTTACGGAAAAGCCAGGCCCAAGTTTAGTCTCCCTGCACCGTGGACTCCAAGCCCGTTTTCCGTGGGTCTCCTTCCAGCGTGTGGTGGCTCAGCCCCCGGGGTCCTGTGGGTGCCGTTCGCTCAGGACCTTCCTCGTGCTCGTGGCGATCGGTTCCCGATGCTTTTGAAGGACCAGTTCGGAACCCGAGCTGTGCTTCCGTGCGGTAGGGATCAGCCCCAGAGCCCTGGAGGCCACCGCACCCCACCGCGCTCCCCGCAGGCCGGGGACACGGGAGGCCTCCTGCTTTCGTGGTTGACTCGGAACAGTCAGCCCCGCGGTCTGGTCGCCGGACGGGGCGGCCGGTGGGGCTCCCCGCATTCAGGGCCAGAAGTGGTCCCCCAGGGCCTCGCGCGCCCGGCGACAGCTGTGCGAAGCCCCATCCTCCCGTGCGGACTCCCCGGCAGGGCCCAGAGGGCGGTGGGCACCTGCGGGTGAGGGTCCCGTGAGGAAGCGGGGCGCACGGTGACTGTGTCGAGGAAGGCGCGTTGGCACGCCGCGTCCTAACGCAAGTGCTGCCTCCCCAGGCGGCGGTAGGGGGAGCGGCGGAGAGGCGGCCTCGGTGCAGGGGGAGGGCAGCAACCTCGTCTGGGAAGCAGGGCCATCTTGCACAGAGGAGCTGCTTCCTTAGACCTCAGGGAGCCCAGCCCCCCGGCCTGTCCCACCACCGGCTGCGTCCCGGCTACACCCGCAGTAGCCTCACTCGGGGCTCTCCACTCCCCATGTCACCTGACACTCCCTGATCTGTCAGTGGGACAGGCAGCTCCTGGTGGGGGGTGGGGTGAGGAGGTCCCAGCCGGTGTCTCCCACCCCTCCCGGCCCCATCACCTCCTGCGTCACAGCAGTTTATCCTTGGCCTCTAGGGTCCATAGGGTGCTCCCCGCAGTGTGCGTGCCCGTGGTGCTCACCAGCCCACCCTCTCTCCACGCAGGGTGTTCCTGAGAAGCCACACAGCGACTGAGTCTCGGGAGCCGCTGAAGAGCACGGTTTGGGAAGAAGACTGTGACCTTGGACTGTGACAGAGATGATCTTTCTCCTTCGTGATCTGCTTAGACTGGGTGACTGCACCCGTGACGCCCGGAAAAAGATGCCCCCCCCAATCCGGAGCGGCAGGCGAGGGGACCCGCCTGTTTGCACTCCGGGGGTCCCACCCTGGCGGGGGCGGGGCCTCAGGCAGGCACCGCACCCTGAGTATTCAAAATCATTTATGTTATTAAAAGCAAGTTGCCATATTTCAAAGCCTTGAACTAAAGCCTAATTACCAGCTCTTGGTTTTGTACCCGTGCCCACAAGGGATGGCTTGATGGTGCTGTAACAAAGGGGAAGTGTGGTCGAATAGGAATCGTATGGATCCAAGAGGTTTGTTTTTAAATAGGGTTGTGTAAAAAGAAGCAGCCGTGAGCAGCGGGAGGCCGGCTCCTGCGGTCGGGGCGCGGCAACCCCTCGCGCCCTCGTCCCCCGGCGGAGCCCCGTGTAGACAATCTCACCGGGCGCAGAAGGCAGCGAAGGCCATGGCTCTCCACTGTGAACTCCGGAATTCTCACCTCAGTATTCGCGAAGTTTCTTCCAAAATCCACAGTCCTCTAAGAGGGAACGCCTGTCTGCCGCGCATTCTGGGCTTGGCCAGAATTGTCGTTCCCGTAACCCTCCAGAGTAGAGATGACGATGTTCCGCAGCCCTATGGAATCTGCAATCTGTGATTGCCTTGTAAAAAGAAGCGCGCACACATCACCACGTTGAACATTCGGGGTTTCTAAATCCTCAAAGATCTTGGTGAGCACAATGTCTTCACTCAGTGGCATAGACCGTGGTCGACCCGCTTGGCGAAGGTTGGGTCTCACACTTCAAGTGCAATGTTTCTGAAAACCAATCTGAGCCTTGCATTCTCTTAAATATTTATTTTTTTTTTAAACGTACGAGATGTTAAAGAGGGATTCTCCATTCATTTCAGTGCTGCACGGAGGCGAAATTCAGCAATAATTTCTTTCAGTTACGAAGTTACTCTGGTGTACCCTCCACTGAGCCCTGGTCCTTTGAAAATACTCCAGTTTCGTGCTGTTTAGTAGACCAGTAATTTTTACTTACAAATTTACCTTTTTGGTATTTTGAAATTTAAGTGTTTTTGTTTTAAGTTTTTGTGAAGTGATTTCAAGAGACTCCTTTTGACTGGACGCGGGTGCCCTTGGCTTCGTTCGCGCGATGTTCCTGTTGTGGTTCTTCTGTTCTGAGAAAAATACCTGGGAGTAAATTTTAGGTGGCTGTGTTGCTGATTCGTTTTCAAGGAATTTTGTCTAAGAGAAAACGGGGCCATTCCGCACTTTGAGATGACCCCTACACGTTTTCTGAAAAACCCGAAGTTATTAGGTGGAAGCAGTAATTGAATCTTTAAAACATACTTGATCATGTACAAACAGTAAGTATTTTTATTCCTTTTCAACTGGAAGTAAATCTCCATCTGTTAGAAATAATGTAGCCAAAAAAAAACAATGTGAATCTGAAGAATTTTTTTTGCCAATACTTTATAGCAAGTATATGAACCAAAGTGATTTGAGTTTGTAAAAATGTAAAATACTATGAACAAAATTTGCACTATCTGAGATACAGACATCTAGTGAGGTTCACATTCACACTAAGTTTTCAGCATTGTGTTCTTTTTCCATTCATTTTTTTACTTTTATTAAAGGTTCAAAACCAACCATCGTAGTGATGAGTTTTTCTTTACCGGGTGGGGGTTTCTCTGTAGGGTGTCAGAACACGGAATGGGAAATTGCAGCTCTTCACACTCGACTACGTGTCTATACAGCCTCGTGGGAAACCCCGCCTGAGAGCATTTTCGCTCACGTGGGAAGCGATGGGTGGCTGTGGCCACATTGACCCTCCCTCCCGCGCCCTCCTCCCTGATGCAGGGAAGCAGGTGTCTGCTGTGACCTCCTCCGCCCCCTCCCGGGAGGGCTGTGTGCGGTCTTGGGGTGACAGGGCCCCTCCTCCCCATCCCACATGGGTGTCCGGGCGCCTCTGGGCTCCCTGCAGGCAGAGCCCAGGAAGGAAGGGAACACCCTGCCTGCCCCCCAGCGCGGCAGACCTGTCCCCCCCCACCCCCCCAGATCCTGCCTGACATTAGTCCGACGCCCGTGGCTCCCGTACAGGAGCGGCCACACTGACCCCGTCCACATCCCCGTTTAGAGGAAGTCCGCGGAGTGGGGCTCTTTCTGGACCGTCTGGTCAACAAGCGGGAAATCCCGTCCTCCCCGTGCATCACGGGCGGGGACACCGGGCACAGACTCCTCTTCCCTGCGACTGAGGCCCGGGCAGGGCTGAGCAGGAACCCGGACGGCTCGAGGGTGCCGTGTTTACTCAGCTGGTTTTCAGAGTCCCCTGCAGCCTCACCTAGTGAGTGTTTCTGGAGATTAAAGACCAGCACCTGATGCAAGTCGCCCGGTGTCCCCGCACGGCCCTGCCCCTGAATTACAGGCACCCCTCGCTAACAACACTCGCTCTCTGAGAGTTTCAGCTTTTGCCTTTATATTGGGAAATGTGAATAAGGATATTAAAAGTCATCTCCGATACATATTATGTGATAAGACTGGCCCCCTGCCCACGAATCTACCATCAGGCTCGCTCTTGAACAGAAGGTGGGCTGATGAGCAATAAATTGGCCACAGGAGGCATCACCTATTGATCCCTGAGTACGGCCAAAATATGTAGAGAAAGACACATAAAACGTATCCAATCCTAAGCCCTAACCTGGTGCTCTCTGGAGTTCCTTCAGAAGACTCACGCTGGAGAGATTTCTTTTTCTTTTTTTTTTTTTTAAGTTTTACATTTTTTAAAATATTTTTATTTCTAGGAGAGAGAGAGAGAGAGACAGCGTGAGCAGGGGAGGGTCAGAGAGAGAGGGAGTCACAGACTCTGAAACAGGCTCCAGGCTCTGAGCTGGCAGTCAGCACAGAGCCCGACGCGGGGCTCGAACCCACGAACCGCGAGATCATGACCTGAGCGAAAGTCGGACGCTTCACCGACTAAGCCACCCGGGCGCCCCATGCCGGAGAGATTGCTTACCTGTATTTCTAGAAACACCCTCGAGTGCTGGGCACAAGGTCGGCTGGAAAAAACGAGTGGGCTGAGCCGCTGCCACAGGGGCGGGTCCCGCCAGACTCCCGAGTTTGAAGACAAAACACCCCACGTGACAAGTGGTGTTTCTTCACCACGTCCGTTTGTCGGACGCTGAATTTTGCGAAGTGCTTTGGCACCTGTCTTCCTGGTTCTCCACAGTTGTTCTTGTTCCTTCTGATGCACATTTTGCCAAGTTCAGGAGCACAGGGAAGACACCAGCTCTGTCTGCAGCCGTGCGTTTATTGTCATCCTTCAGACCGCGGCCAGCGTCGCCTTCTTCCCCCAGCGCATCCACCCCCGAAGCTCCTGGGGCCACAGGGCCCTGTCCTCGCCGGCCGTGAGCCCGCGAGGGAGAAGCCGGCCGCCCTCCTGCTCCGAGCCGAGCCTCTGACACTTGGCTGGAGGAATGTCGATAAATGAATCCATTCATTCGCCCAGACCTCCATCAGCCCACGCGCCAGCGTCCCCAAGCACTGTGAGCCATGGCAGGGCAGAGGGGCCCATGTCTGCGGCCCAGCCCCAGCCCTCTCCCGCGTGGGATCGCCGATCCGCCAACGACATCCTGACGTTGTTAGGCTCACTCCTGGGTGACGCTTCTGAGAGGGCTCCTCCCAGGAAAGTGGTCACATTTGCATGACGAAATGTCGCTTTGCTGCTCTGGGCAGCCACGTTGCCACACGCACCATGTCACTGAGTGTGGTGACCCTGTGGATGATTCTTCCCCGGCATGGGGCCGGGCCGCCTTGGGCTGTCCGCACCAGCAGTCTCCCCCAGCCTTCCCAGCCTCCCCTGGCCTATCCCGGCCTCCCCCAGTCTCCCCCAGCCTCTGCCAGCCTCCCCCAGCCTTCCCTGGCCTATCCCGGCCTCCCCCAGCCTCCCCAAGCCTCTGCCAGCCTCCCCCAGCCTCCCCTGGCCTATCCCGGCCTCCCCCAGCCTCCCCAAGCCTCTGTCAGCCTCCCCAGCCTCCCCCAGCCTTCCCAGCCTCCCCTGGCCTATCCCGGCCTCCCCCAGCCTCCCCAAGCCTCTGTCAGCCTCACCAGCCTCCCCCAGCCTTCCCAGCCTCCCCTGGCCTATCCTGGCCACCCCCAGTCTCCCCAAGCCTCTGTCAGCCTCCCCAGCCTCCCCCAGCCT